AAGACTACACTTCCCATGACATAAGTCACCCTTGGACTTAAGTTTTTTTTGTAATACGGTAAAACTTAAGTCTAAAGACTTAAGTTAGCGACAGAGACTTAAGCCAGACTTAAGTTTTTTTGTGATACGGCCCCCCTGGTTTAAGAATAAACTCATTTGATTATTGTAAGCTGGTTCATAGAGATAAAATCTGTGATGTAGTCGGGTAGCTATTTGAGAAATATTTCTCTGACTTCAAACTAACGAGATAGACAGATCGCCTATACATTGCTGATGCACACATTTTTATATAGAAGAAAACAAAAGTATATACAGTTGTATTTAGACGAGAATGGAAAAATGTCAACAATAGTGAACAAATAAATGCTTACACATGTGTAGTATCACTTTAAAAGAGACAGGCCAGAATATTTTCAACTACGGACCGAAGTTGAATGTCAGTCTTGAAAACAAAACAAAAATTCATTCCATTTTAATGTTATATGACAATTTCAAACATACGCGTCTTCTTCGTTAGAAATTCACCATTTCTCTGTATTTTATTTTATTTGATATAAATTGCATCTCCATAGTAAAGAACAAAAGAAGGGAAGAGTAGTGAAGATAAGAGAGCAATATGAATACAAAATAGTGGCTGTTTTGATGAAATAAACAGAAAAAAATGTAGAAACAAAATGTTTTTTAATCACTCACACACCAAATGAAAACATAATTAGATGGAATTAGTAGCCTGCGACGTCGTTCTTTTAAAAAACAAAAAAAAAATATGTATAACAGAGTGTAAACACTTTTGATCATTCGGTAAAGAAAAATGTAAATACACAAACATTCAGGTTGGTTTGTATACTAAAAAATAGAACACTCATGGTCTATCATTCGTGACATATGTGAGTGTAAAAGAGTAAATAGGCACATACATCAACTACTTGTTCACAAATAATATTAGAAACATGAGAAGAAAAATGAACGATTTTCGTTTCCTGGAAAAAAGAGAAAAAAATTGAATCATATCACTAATTTAAAAGAAAAAAAAATAACGATCTTTATGCATGTGTGCATGTATCTTTATACACATACATTTTTTTTTCTTTTCTCTAAGCAAAAAAAGCTAGAAAAAAACAACAAAAAAATTGAACTACAATTCAAAAAGAATGAAACAAGTATGTTAGTACGTCTGACCGTTTCAGATCTAATATAAAACACACAAACGTTTATAGTCGATTATTATTGGATTTTTTTTTTATTTGACTTTCAAATGTATTTGAGAGAGCCAGTCTCGCACAAAAGTTGTTTAAAATCGACAACAAACAGAGAGATATAGTAGGCCGATATGACCAGCAGCCGTTGTAAGAAAAGACAAACATAAAATAAACAAAAGAGAAAAACTGAAAAAAAAATGCAAAGCAAAAAAAAACCAGCTGCTTATTCGGCTATATGTTTTTTTACTCTCTGTTTCTGTGCTCAGGCCTAGAACGGAGAACAAATGTGTACCACGTGTAGTGTGTGTGTCCAAGACATCACATTTTCCTAATATTCACACACACATACAAACAATGAAAAATAAAAACAACAAATTTAACAAAAAAAGATACTTCAACAACTATAACCTTCCTTCATACACTGTTCTCGAATATTTATATAAAAACAACACATAAAAACATCGACTATATTGTGAAATTTATTCGTGCGTACGTGCGTTGTTTTTGTACAATTTTATCTTCTCTTTCCTTTTTTTCATTTGTTTACGATCAGAAAATAGCATACCATACACTGAGTGTGCAAAGAAATAACGAACAGGAAAAACAACGAAGAGAGTAACTGAATAATGAAATGTTTCTTTTTAGAACTAAACGTCAAAATAATTTGTTATCGTTTCGTGATGCGAGTGATCAATCTTTTTAAATTTTTTTTCCTTAATTACGCTGTATTATCCCACCAACTTTGATCTTGTCGTCCGACATTTCCGGACACTCCAAGATTTGGTTGCTGTTGTTGCTGAAATCGCATCATCATATCATAATTACCGGGAGGATCATTCCATATTTGTGGTTGCATTTGTTGAAGTCCGGGTTGTGTATTATGCATCGCACCATCGGACCATTGAGTTTGCTGTCCATAACCTCCGCTGGCTCCAACATTAGATGAATTTTGTGGTTTTCGAGTATTACGTAATTGTTGAGGATTACGCCAATCTCTTGCTCCAAATCCACCATTATTGAAACTAAAATTCAAACAGATATGATAAATACAACGAGTGAAAGATGCTCGAAATGCTTTTTAATTGGTATACTATCGAATCGATTCTAGTATACGTTTCATCATCAGGTAGTTAAAATTTATATACAAAATAAGGAAAACAAAACCAAAAATTTACCGTCTGGCACCATATGATTTTTTAATGATGCTTTCTTTTTTAACTTCTTTAGCCAACATGTCAAGCCATTGTGGTACTTCTTGTTGTGATTCTGTTAAAATATCAAGTAAATCAATAGCAATATTTTTATTCTTTTCATTATAAAACGACGTTGCTTGACCTTAAAAACAGAAAAAAGTCAAACAGTAGAGAATAATATACGAATTTGATGTTCAGATTTGATGTTTATACATACCAGCCATTCCTGCGCGCCCCGTACGCCCAATACGATGTACATATTCGTCAATATCTGATGGTAAATCAAAATTAATCACATGTTTCACATGTCTAGCAGAAGAAAAGAACCCTCAAATCTTTAATTCTACATGCAAAACTAAAGAGACTTACGGTATATCGAGACCACGTGCTGCAACGGATGTCGCAACTAAAATTGGTGTCTTTCCTAATTTGAACGATTTTAAAGCTTCTTCTCTCTGTGCCTGTGATCGATCACCATGTATTGAATTTACAGAATAATTGTGACTGTCCAAAAATTCATCAAGTAAATCGGCACCACGTTTTGTTTCAACAAAAACTAGTGTCAGTGACTCTGGTCCTGAATATAATCGATTCTTATTGGAAAATAAATATTAACTAACTTGAAATTCAACTCGTACCTGCATCAACATTAAGTAAATCAAGAAGAAATGAACGTTTTTCTGATTCTTCCACCCACACAATCTTTTGAGTTATGTTTTGTGATGTTGAACCAACACGTCCAATAGCCAAAAATACATAATCATGTAAGAAATCACGAGCTAATTCCTTAAACGAAATAAATATTATTTTTTTTAAATATTAAGTTTTTATCTTCAAAAAATAGGCTTTTTAATCATCCAACATTCTCAACGGCATTGTAAAGACATGACTTCATTACCCGAGAAAAAAATCCCACGAGAAAAGTTTGCGCTTGTTTGTGAATAGATACAGGTAGTTCTTTGAATTAATTAAAAAATATTTTAGAATCAACTTTGAATATTAGTTTTATTCCTATCTTTCTTCCAATTGCTTTAGCCTTATATTTATGTTGAGGTTTTATGAAGAATACTCTTACTTGTATTTGTTTTGGAAACGTGGCTGAAAACATAAGCGTAAGACGTTGACCAGTAGTCGGCATATCTGACTTTTCAACAATTTCACGTATTTGGGGTTCAAAACCCATATCTAACATACGATCTGCTTCATCTAATACCAAATAACTGAAACACATTAAAGTAGCACATATGGAATGATAGTTTCTACGATTGATTGATACAGTTAGTCGATTTGCAGGATTTTCAATTATGATCTTTCTTTTTCCACTAACACATCAACAATGGAAATATGGCACATAGTAACAGACAATTCTCAGATACCCTTTTAAACTTACTTAGATGTATGCCTAGCAGAGCTTCGTATGACCCGGACTCAAACTTTCAAGACCATGGACTCGAAAAAAATTTTGGATTCAGTTGAATCGAGGAAAAGTCAGTAAAAAAATACTAAAAAACTAACTTTCTAGAGTCCATGGACTCGGACTAGAATGGACTCAGAATTTTGAGTCAATACGGAGCTCTGATGCCTGGTACATGTGAGCTGTTCTTTATAAAGGAAGTTTTACCTAAATTTTTGGAAAAATTTTAAAAATTCTATTTTCACAATAAAACGTTTCTATGAAAATAATGAATTCATGATACATTATAGTACGCTAATATACGTATGTCTAAAAGTAGATTGTCGCGACTGGACACATTGAAACAACTTAACTTTCTCCTTGCAAAAGTATTGACAATACTTACCGAATATTAGCTAAACCAATTCGTCCACGTTGAATCAAATCATTTAAACGACCAGGTGTTGCTACTAGTAAATGTGCACCTTTTTCCAGGTCACGTGATTGATAACTAATATCGGCACCACCGTAAACAACACACGAACGAACTAATGAGCGATAGGAGAACTAGAACGAAAACAGCCATACTATTTCCTAATAGTACTGCCATGCTAATATTACCTTTCTTGCTTCTTCGTATATCTGTAACGCTAATTCTCTTGTTGGTGCCAATATTAAACATAATGGATATTGTTTACGTTGATTACGATAGGAACCTGTCGAATTTCTAGCTGGTCCTTCTTCAAACATTAAATGCAGTATTGGTAACAAAAATGCGGCCGTTTTACCAGAACCTGAAATATATAAAAGTAGTGAATTATTTGAACACATATGCATAATAAATATAAAACCTGTTTGTGCACATGCCATTAAATCACGACGATTTAAAATTGTTGGTATAGCATATTTTTGTACGGGTGTTGGTTTACCGTATGCGCTTAACCGAATATTGAATTTTGATATTTCACCAAACGGACAATCTTCAAACTAAAACAGAAACAAACTGAAGTTCACACCGAAAGACTTGACTAAGCGCTTTACTCACCGTTTCAATTGGTGAATGATCCATATGCGAAGTTTCAACGGGAATATTGTCATACATTTCGAAATTAATACCGGTTGGATGTGTACCAAATAATTCTCTGTAAAAACAAAACAGTGGCAGTTTTTCGGCAAGGAGTTAAAATGTCTAAAACGTACTCTTCTACTTTGTAATTTCTTGGCAATGGTCTTGACCAATCAATTTTTTCATCAACACTCGATGATTGTGGCCGTCTATCTACATATTGCTGTGGTAGCTGTTGTTGTTGATATGATGGTTGCTGTCGAGAATTATTTTGAATTGCAGGCACTGTATTTTGACGTTGATTTTGATAACCCGAACCAAAGCCTTGTCTTTGCTGGAAGCCTTGACGACTTGTGCCTTCCAGTAGTGCTGAAAAACGATTATTCACGGCGTTTGTCGTTTGTAAATCTGGCGGTGCTTCAACACTGGAGGGCATATTCATTTGCGGAGATTGAGTTTGTCGTAGATTACCGGCATCGAACGACGAAAATCTACAAAAAAAAACACGTGAAAATCTAAAGTCAATTAGATCAGAAACGAAAAAAAAAGAAGACTTACTGGTGTTGTTGCATCATTTGTTGACGAGGATATCGTCCAGTATTATTATATTGATTATTACCACCATCGTTTAATGCTGGTGATTCTGAACGACGAGGTGGAACATATAACGGTGATGGATTAGTCGGATTTCTTGTTACCATTTGTTGTGTAACGTTTGTATGATATCCTATTTGCTGATACATATTTGGTGGCCCTTGTTGAAGAAGTGATTGCGGTGGACCTTGATTGTAACCAGTTCGATTATTATAATTTGGATTCATATTTCCACGATTGTTATTAGTGCCATAATTATTGTTTGGATTTCCACTAAAAAAGGTGAAATAGAGAGTAAGTACGAAGGTTTCCCTCTAAAACTCACTTCAGCTGGTTCATTCGAGGTGTCTGTTGCTGTTGTTGTGGCTGTTGTCGTGAATATGATTGGCGTCCATAACCACCTGCATATTGACTATCCGAATTTTCTTTTGACGTTTGATAGCCGCTATAACCACGTTGTTGTTGTTGAGGAGGTCCTGGTTGTGGCTGTCTATCCGTTTCTCGTTGTTGACTTCAAAAAAAATTATAAAACTTTAGTTGAGATTATTCAAAAGTTAAACAAGAATAAGTTTACGTACTCGTTACTATTCATTTTTAGGTTCTTCTGATGTTACAACTATTCTTTTATCTAGAAGTGATAATTAATTGATCGTTAAGGTTCCTTTTTAAACTTAAGAAATACATTTCACAAGTCTGAAGATATTCAGTTAATGAAAACGAGAGAAAAGATATAACAAGAAAAATTTTGATCTGTTGCAAAAGATGCGAAGTAAACTGCCGGATACTAAATTCAAATGCGTACTGTTTAAACTAACAAAAAAGGAAGGCTGCGCATATCTTTCTCTCTGTATCCGTCTATGATGGAAACACATTTTACATATCTATCGTTTTTTGTTGTATTACTCTAGCGGTATACGTATATAGTGTATATTCTTATGTATTTTCTTTCTGTCTAGATGAGGTTTTTGACAGCATCCAATCAATAACCATTGGAGGTATATTGTATCAGAAAACGTGTCTGGGATAAGGATCGCTAAGAAAACAAATTCACACGATAAAAAACAAATTTTTTTAAGTTTTAAAACATTGAAATTTGAATTGTTGGCAAATTGAATGCAAACAGCTGAGATGTAGATGACTCCACATAAGTAGTATACTACTTGACTAAGTTAGTTATTGTTTTCCTTGAGTACAACAAACTGAAAAAATTATAACGTTATTTCCTTTAAAACAGACATACTTCAATGCTCGGTCTGCAGCGCATATTGGTTAACTCTATTTAGAGGTTGTAATCATGACATTTATGTGCAAAATGGCACCGAGCTAGTACGTTATACACAGAGTTTCTTCCCATAAAGAGCATCGCTCGCGATAGACTGTTGTATTTAGGGTAATATAACTCTTTTGATTATTCTCACAAACCGAGTGAGAGAATTTGTGGAACATTTTACGCCTGTATAATACACAGTACATAGTTATAAAGTAAACGAACTTAAAGGTTTAACAAAAATCTATATTCAATTAATAGAGTTAGAACAAAAACATCGTCCAAGCTGTTACAGACTTCTGAAAATCTACTATGAGGTACTTTTCTTATTAATCATCTTTTGCTCCTACTTTAATTAAAACAATTGTTTTGGTCCCGAATTTGGTAAGTATTTTAAAGTTGAACGCGGAACAAGTTCACTTTATGGGGAACTTAAGGAATCCAGATTTTGACTATTCCATCGTGAAGAGCATCACTTAAAACCTATAAATTGACAAAAGAAACTTGGCGGCAAACACTCGAAACCCAAAAACAATTCAATTTACTCTCATTAGTGTCTGAGGGGGACCAAAGGTACAAATTTTGGACAAAATTTTTTTCTGCTAAATATACATCATTGAACTCAGTTTCGTACGTAGATTACGAATATAGTATTGGCTTCGAACAGAAATTCTAAAAACTTCGCTCGATTCCTGAGCAAAGTGAGGGTGAGTGGAGGA